GAGGACAATGGGTCAAATGTAAAATGCACATGAAAAATCTGTATATTTTATTATTAAATACACTTCTGAATTATTTAATACTAGACCAGTAGGCCTATAATGCAAATTTTATTGAGAACATTATTAAACTTATGATAATAAAAGTTAGGAAATCCAAACATTACACTAGGTGGTTTATATTTGATATTTATGTGACTGACTGGAAATAATTCTCCAAAATAACATCCATTTATATATAAAATAATCGAAAGTAATCGAAAAAGTAATTATAATTACATTGATAATTTTAGCTGCAATCGATTAAATTACGATTACAAGTAATCGAAAATCTCTTCGATTACAGATTACTGTCGATTACTTGAAAAAAGGTAATCATTACAATCGATTACAATTACTCGATTACGATTACCCCATCCCTGTTTGTGACATCTCCTTCCTTTGGATACCAACCACTTTGACCCTTTGACCTTGACATTGGAGTTTGACCTACTTTTGAAAAAGTTGAACCTTGGCCATAACTTTGGAATGGTTGGCGCTAGGACTTTCATTCTTCACGTATGTAATCCTTGTGACAAGATCTCCTTTGGATACCAACAACTTTGACCTTGACCTTGACGTTTTACTTACTTTTAAAAAAAAACTTTAACCTTCGCCATAACTTTTGAACAGTTGCAGCTAGGGCTTTCAAATTTCACAGGTATATTTCTTGAGACAAGACCTTTCTTTGGGTACCAACATTTTTCATCTTTTGGCCTGGATTTTGACTTGCATTTGAGAAACTTTACTTTAACCTTTGCCATAAGCTGCCATACGGGGGCATCAGTGTTTCATAAACACATCTTCATTTCTTTCTTTTGTTTTTTTTTCAAGAGCCCGGATTTTTTTTTGCAGAGTTTCTTATCTTCTGATCTCAACTCATCGACTTCGTTTATGAACTGCTTCTCTTTTCCCTACAACAACAACTTCTGAAAATGCCCATGAAGATTTCTGTTACATTTCTTAACTACTGAGAATCAACAAATCTTTAACATTTTTACACTGAAACATGGTATTATAATGAAGGTTGCCAAGAACATTCACCTTAAAAAAATCATTTATAAATATCTAGTATACTCTTTATTTAGCTGAAAAGTGTAGTATTAAAAGCAACTTTTGGTGTGTAATGCTAAAAAGTTACATTTACTAAAACAGATTGACATAAAGTTGCAAACCGAAACTGCAAAGGGGATCATAAATTTACCTAGGACTACCGGGGTAGGTCATCCAATATTAAAACAATGATTCTTAAAAGTTTATCATGGCTTACACACTATAACATAATTAAATATGAAAAGTACTAAACTGTCTTTGTCTAAAGATTCCCTAGACATAAATTCATGGTCCAAATCTTCAGTGTCACTTTCTGAAGAAAGTGTGCCTATTGAAACAGAATTAAAAGAAATTTTTCTGGCAATTTATAACAAAAATAAGATTTTTTTTTTCCCCCAAAAAAAAGGAAAGGTTAAGTGCAGAGAGATGCTGCAAACAGTTCAAAGGTTACTAGGTACATTAACCTGCTTGATTTACCTGTAGTATTTAGTGATGTAGCAGGTGGTGAATGCCTTCTCGTTGCTGATTCAGATGATGAAGCTGGTGCTCTTTTTAGGAGCAAATTTGTTTGCCTTGAAAATAGTTTGCTGAAACAGGATGCTATTTAATAGAAAAAAAAATTTCATTTTTAATGATAGACTATTTGTGTCTGTGTAATCATTTTAATTCGTGAAAGTATAATTATTCTAATAGATTAACTTAAGAGAGTTTAACTGTTTGGCTTACACTTTAAAAGAAACTTTTCATACGTTTACAATAAAATTTACAATAAAACAATTATATGACTTTTAGAGAATTTTCAGTTTACACAACTCTTATTAGCATCCACAATCTTGGGTCAAAACACTTCGTATGTGCCTTATCTAATCAATTAAAGCACCATTAGATTACAAGTGTAAAAGTGGCCAGGAACCCCCTCCCCCCCCCCCCCCTTTTAAAAAGAATTCATACTCTAAAGGTTTTGAATTCTTATTGTGAATTTACCATAGGTTTTTTTCCCCTTCCCTGTCATTAGCTAAAGATACGGAAAAAGAAATTTATACTTTTCTTTTCTTGCAAGTTTTATTAATTTTTAGTTTTATGCATCATAAGCAGATCTAGAAGGGGTAGCAGTCCTTCCATAGAGCAGTCTGAGAGGAAATTTGCCTATTTCCTTCGGCCTCCCTGTTGTAGGTCAATAGGCCTATGAATGTTTTGATAAACTAGCCTATCTATAATTAATGTATGTTACTTTGGTTGGATCCCCACTCAAAGCAAAGTTTGGCAAAGTCTTCATTTAAAAAAAAAAGCATAATAATTTAACAAATAGAGTAACATCTTCCGACAGATATCTGATTAAATGATTAAATCAGTGATTTCCTACCGTTTTTTGTAACTCACCACTAATCTCTGCAGTTATGGCTGCAAAGTAGATTGATCCTCTGAAAACATGTATATATATTCTTCTTTCTTCGTATTCTGTTATTTCCTTAAGAGGCTGACAAAGAATGACTACTCTGATTATAATACTTTAATATCATCAATTCACATTTCCAGCGTCTCGCGCGTTTCAAGTTTGCGCCTTTCGTCTTGACCGATGGAAACTTGGGTTCTTAAAAATGTAAGGCAGAGCTAGGATGTAGTTTCGAATTCCCAATATTTTTATTTTAAAAAATAACAAAGACTATCTGAATAATTTTTCACTGGAATTAAATTTTAAAAATCAATATAATTTTTATCAATTATGAATTCAAAGAATTTTTTTACGTCATCAATGGGTGTCTTCCAGGAACCGGAGGACAATAACTATGAAGAAGTATGGGAGAATAGACGAAAAAAATATGAATGTGGATCATGTCATAGATACTTCACAACCATGCAGTCTGGTTGTATCATTTACACACGATGCATGGAAAAAGTATGACTTTTTAACTAACGTTACGTCAATATTAGTATGGGGATATAGCGTTTCGACACAAGAATAGTACGGTTCAGTACAGATAAGACATATAATTTTTTTGGTTGGAAATAAATTTATGACGTGTTTTAAGGAAGATTATGAAGTTTTTTCTTAATTGTTTCAGTTTCTCACAACTTAATTTAATTTTGACATTAGAGAAAATTCGATCGAACAAAGTATGTTGCGTCGTGAAAAATGAGATTATTTAAAGCACATTTTCAATATAACTGGTTAATTAAAATAATGAAGTAACATGCGTAATTTAATTTAACCCCTTCACTTCCAAACCGGCCAATTTGATCGGTGGTGCGTTAAAACACGCCTTCGCGAAAAAAAGATCTCCGTATCTATTTTATGATAGCATAAAGGTATATAAACTTTATATCATCTTTTTGGAAATTTTCTCTACTTTTAAACTATATAAAAATTTTATGTCTTAATGTCGGTAATGAATAGATTTTACGTTTTGAAGACATACACGGCTTTTTGAAAATGGCGCAATTTTCCAAAGCAATTGACGATTTTCCCGACGATTGACATTTTTTTTTCCTGATTAACTTAATAAAGAAAGTATGATATATTCTAAAAGCATATTTTCTCTGCTTTTAAAATATGTAAAAAATATTGTTATTACTTTAAAATATTTTGTAAAAACAAGAATTTTCTTGCACTTTACGTGTTTTTTCTCGTTTTTATTCGTAATATTTAAATAAATCTCAGCTTTACGTGTATTTCTGTACTGAAATAGGGAAAACAAAATAAAGCTGATCAAAGTAGAGAAAATTTCCTTTTCAACAAGCCCATATAGGTCTTCTTACTCTTAGTATTTATTTAATTACGATAGTTTGAATTTGAGACCTTCGCATAATTTTTGTAGAAATATCGGGGGCGATCAATATTTAACGTCAAGGTAGATTTTGTTGCGTCTTACTAGGAACAACATATTGTTTTATAAGTACTATTTATATATATACTTTAAATGAAATAACTGCTTAATACAAAATAATTGGTTTTAAAAAAACAAATATTTACTCATTTGTAAAGTTTTTTTTTTTAATATAATGAATTTATTTATCTATATTACATGTACAATAATGTTGATAAAAATGTACAGTTCCCTAAACGTCTTTACGTCGTAAAAAATCGAAGTTAATATTGCTGTATGTTAATACATGTAACGTTATATATATTCTCGCTGTATGTTAATATATATATTCTTTAAAATATGAAATTTAATTAGATCTCTACTGACACGGAATTTAATAACTTTGAAATAAGCACAAAAACTCTCATGTACACGACTCATCACTGTAAGAGTTATTACGAATTGAGATTACCACGTGTTTCTGCTGTAGCAGTACACAGCAGCATGATGATGATCTGAACGTCAATTTTCATGATTATTTTACGACGAAGAACATCACATCAATGCATCAAATTATACAGTCTTTCCTTTGGTATTAGAGGTGAGTAAGTATTGACTGAAGAGTTTAAAACTGTCTTTAAAACGCATTAATTCACGCTCAAATGAAAACAAAATGTACACACCTACTACCGTATATACTCACCTATAAGTCGGTCCGCCTATAAGTCGGTTGTATTTTTTTTAGGTTACTTGGAAATGTTTACAGAATACTATATTTTGCTGTCCAGAAAAAGACTTATCTTTTGATGACTCGCCTGTAAGTCGGACATAGAGTTTTGGACCAAAATTTAACTCCTAAAATACCAACTTATAGGCGAGTACATACGGTAGATCTCCATGTATAGGCATTACCCTGTTTCAGTGTTTGTATCTCTCTGAAACTAGTTCAGCCAATTTTGTGTTGCTTTTGAAGTATATGCTTTTGACGACCACTCTTAAGTACCTTTCAAAATAAGATCAAGTTGCCATAATAATGGAGAGTTGTTGTCAGTATGTGTGCAGCTGGTGTGTACATGTAACACTCTGTCACATTGAATTTTTAGGGTGCTGGCACCATATGCTTCAGTACTTTCATCTGTGAAGACCCACTTGCTAACCCTACCATGCACTAGAAAGACCATTATGTGGGGACACAGGTGCTTATTATGACCAATGAACAGGTAAATTTTTGTTTTGGTGAAAATTTCTATATCTATAAAAATTCTAATTAAAGTGAAATTTTAATTGCATTCTCTTGATATTGCATTCACACAAGTTTATAAGAATTTGATTTATATTTTGAAAAAAGTGTGTGATACACATGATATTTATGATGCATGATTCTACATATAAACACACTATTTAAACACACAATATGTATTCGAATTTATGCTCAGATATGGAACAAGCTGTCTTTTATAGACTGCTGTGGTATTTTCAGTCTTGTGAAGTATGTGGTTAGAATTTCCATTTTCTCAATTTTTCAGTCATGTACATGTATACGTGGGTGGTCAAACTATATTCACCGGATGGGTATTTATCAACACTCCCATGTACACAAACAGCCTTGCCCCAGGAATTTTGCCCTGAAGCAACAGTTTTCAATCTATTAATGTGTCCTTTTTCTTAACAACCCTGACAGCCAGGTATGCTATTTCTTTTAGTTCAATAATTCAATTATGATGGTTTACTACTGGCTTGATTATTTTTCAGTCCTGATACATTGACTTAACCAAATCATTTAACTACATGAATCACATAATAAATATACTATTAATTTTAAAAGGAAAATTATATCAGTGTATTATATGTAGCATTCTTAATTTTATATATGTAAATTCACATAATCTGTTTCAAGATATTTAAATCGTTTACAGGATAGAAGCTGATTACATGTACTTGACAGAAAATGATCATGTCTTGGACAAGTCAAAGAAGTTCCTTCAGTCTTTCAGAGAAATGACAGTTGATGAAAGATGGTGTCCAGAAAGTAAAAGTGCTCTGGTCTTCAACATTTTGTGGAAGATTAAATCAGTCTGATTTAGAATTCAGCTTGCAATACTTCCGGATTTGTATATTTGGATAAAAAATCACATTTTCTACTTATTGACTAAACAGTTTTGCGTTAAATATTGCCAATGCCATTTATTATTATTTTTTCCCTCCAAGATGACGTCAAGTCTTTATTGTACCCCTTAAGCACTGTTACCAGAAAAATCTTGTAATGAAATCAATTAGTTTATTTTTTCTTGTTAAATTTAAAGTCGGGGAAAAAAATCCATGAAAATAAAGGTTTCTTTTAAATGGCATTAAGAAAATGGATTTGTTTTTGTTTAACAGAAAGATACTATACATGTTGTAGTTACTGTTATGTAATTTTTACATCACTGTTAAGCCACACCTTTTTGTCATTTTTGCCACACTTTTATTAGCCACATCTTTCAGGAAATGTATAGGGCCAGTGGGTCTGTCAATTTAATTTGCTAGTAAATATGCATCATAAATTTGAACAAAATTGCACTGGTGGAAAGTACTAAAGTACTGGGTTTTTTTTTTTAATTTACTTGATATTGTGGATGTGATTTTTTTTAATTAGAACACAAGAAACCCTGTTTGCAAATTGTACTTCAAATTTTTGACAACATTTTTTTAATAACTTGCATTGTCAATTTATTATTAGCTTAAAAGACCAAGTCAAATGTTTCTCATCAAACATGGCTAGTGAATGCAGTCTTCACCAACGAAGGGATTTGCTATTCTTCTCACAAACCCTTGGTCTATCTTGCTATCAAAAGTCAGGATTTTTTTTCACAGGTTCTGATTGGAGTTTATTGACATCATTTGACCAATCAGCAAGTGCTATAGTAAATGACGATATCTTCATTCAGGATATTTCTTGACTCTATATAGTCTCAGTAATAAAAACCTTTGTAAACAATGATTCATAAGATAACATTCCATTCTTTAAATTGTGAGAAGAGTAGCAGACTAGAATCCTTTGCTTGAAAGGATGAGCAAATGCATGTCACATAAATAAGATGAATGAAAGGATTGTAATGCAAAAGCCACTTATTTGAAAAAGAGATTCCAAGTTCACTCCATTGTCCATCTCATGAGGTTTCTTTATGCTTATCATATTACCATATGATATTTACCATATTATTTTAATAATGTGTGTCACTTAAAGGTTGAATTACATGCAATCGCAGCTTACGAATTTTATTTCAGTTCATATGTTTTAGGTGTATTTTTGGAATGGCAACCAAGATATGCAAAATTAAAAAGATTAATTAATTTTTTCAAATTTCTCTCAGGATTTTGTTGTTCACAACTTTTTACGTCAACTATTAGGTGGTATATCCATAATGATTGCAGCATTTCAAAATTGATATGTACTTGCAATTTAAGGCAGAATTCTGTACTGATCTGACCTTGACCCCACTAAGAACAGAATTTTATAATGTTCTTTACATTATTTTGGCCCATATCTTACTTACAATATCATGGAATACACACAAAGTGTCTAGAATGAGCGATAACAAACATAAAATGTATACAGCCAAAAAATTGAAAATGTTGCTTAGCAACCACTTAAAGGTCATTAAAAAAATATTTGAACTAAAATGGTGTATTGATATTGCAGTTCTGATGCCTTCTTGAGAGTATATTCAGAATTTTCTATTTCAGCATCCATTGTGTAAAATTTTAGCAAGAACATTGAAAAGTATTGAAAAATTGATGAATTTTTTTCACTTATTTGACCTTTGACCTCCAAAAATAGTTCTAATGAGGTCAAACATTAAGACAATTTATCTGCTGTATGTCCCTTTTAATTTTATGACCTCATATTTCACTTTAAAATGTGCTGGAATGCATAAATGTGTCTAGGATGAGCAAAAAACGAAAATTGCTACCCTAAAATTGAAAAATACCCCGTTGAAAAGCAACCCGTTTAAAGTCGTTATATACAGAATTTAAAAAAAAGTTTATGTGATTCATGTAGTACAGTATAATGCTCTTTTGTGAGTTTATTCTAAATTTCCTATTTCAACATACATCATTGTAAATTTTTCGCTTGAAGATTAAAAAGTGTCGAAAAATTCGATAAAATTTTGCACTTATTTGACCTTTGACCTCCATTTCTTCTAATAAGGTCAGTCGTTGGGTATCTGAATAGTCATGAAATATCATCTCTATGAAATTCCCTACAAAATGGTATGCGTTATGTCTTGCTTTCTCCTTGGATAAAAAGGTTAGAAAAAATTTGATAATGCTATGTCAAAAGGTCTCCAAATCACGTAAAATGTGCCGGTAGAGAAAGGGTTAAAGAAATGCTGGCAATGATGATGCAGTGTTTGTTTAATATTATAATCAAAACATGAAATGTTTACAGATTTCATGATTTATTTTTTTCAGATAGTAGATATATGAAAACATGTAATTAATTATACCAGGGGCTTGTTCAACAGTGCATGTGCATGCACAAGTTGTATTATAGGAGTAATGAGTTTTTCTGGCAATTACTTGTGTCTTCATGAAAATCCATAAACATTCATTACCTTGAACTAAACGTTTTTCTGTTTTTAAACTGAAAATTACTTATATTCATATATATTCATCATTAGTTCATGAACTACATTTTATGAATATATTCATGAATAAAATTCATGAACCATCTTTATGAACCAGTCATGAATACATCATGAATTTTCATGAACAATTCATAAAAATTATGAATTTCATCTCGCAGGGGAAACGATGGAAGTATGGTACCCTCAACCACATTAACATTGAGTATATGGGAAAATGTTTGAGAGTTATGTTGTTTAATCTTCTGGTATACCATGTGTTGTATTGAGTACCAAAATCATACTTTGACAGTCAATTACTTATATGTATACAGAAACATTATGCTGGAATATGGTTGTGGTACTCAATGCAACACACACTAATATTCTAATAAGTTTGCTAATTTTGCAATTATGTTGAGTTGTGGTTAATCCATACAAACATTTAAAGTGATCGATACACATTTATATCATATCATAGTCAAATTAAATAAATTAAATAAACATATCAATTAAATAGGTATACTAAGTGTTTTGATATCAAACATGAGAGAAAAATCCTTTTTGTTATAACATGCCTGTGTGTCTGTCTGTAAGGAAAACCACAACTTTGACATACGATACGGAAGTTGCATTCTGTGTTTGAAAATATGTAAAGATCATCAAGCTCAGGCTTATTGTTTCACAGTAAACAAAATAATTGTTTTGTGAATATCTAGATCACAGTTTCTAAATATGGGTTTTTTTGCAGTATCACAAGTTTAATGTAGTTCTTTTTTCCTATTACCAAAACCCATTGCAATCTGTAACCTGCTCTTTTCAACTTATATGTGAATTTGAATTTTACCAGATATTGATGATGATGCAGTCTGTATTTCAAACAATCTTAAATATAAAATGATCAGTGTTCTTATCAACCCTTGAGTCAATTGTTGTTATTAAAAAAGATACTGCTTGTTTCTTTATGCAATCCAATGCACATTCAGATGTCAGGGGAAATTTTCTGAATGGGACACTTACTTCACTGTAGACAGCTTGACACACTCTACATCTTATGTAAGAGTTTAACGGAGTTATGGAACAGTATGTGTTTAATATATATATATATATATATATATATATATATATATATATATATATATATATATATAAAGCACTAAAAATGACCAAGGACATGAACAATAATAATTGTCAAACACTAAATATTTACAATGTTACATGTTTAATTTGGAGTTTATAAACAGTTGTGAACAAAGAAATCCGGAGCGCTATGAATTGCGTCCGGTCTATCGGGTGTAGTCTGGTGAAGTGAGCCAAACAAAGTCATACTCAGAATCATTTGCCTCCAAACTCCAAATGAAACACAGAATCTCTATATATGGTATATAGTAAGAAAATCTAAAATCTAGTTTGTTGTGGGTAAGAATTCAATCATGCCATGTTTCATTATAGGAGATATCTATACTAGTATCCTTCATTCCCCCCCCCCCCCATTACTTGTTAGTATTATCAAAGTATAATCAAGAATTATTGGCAAATGTGCACATTTTGGTACCACAGGTTATAAGCGACATTTTGAAGATACGTTCCACATGAAAATGGGCACAGATTTACGGAAGATTAAAATGATACATTTCCAGAATAAACATTGCATATAAAAATAAAGTTTGATAATAATCAAATTTGCGTCTAATTTCTTGAAACGAAATATGTAATACAAATGCATGGGAATTGCTATTTTTATTGATTCTTCATGCATGAGATACCTGTAAATAATATATACTTGCCTTTTATTATGTGCACAGTATACACTTTCAGCATCAATTCTGAATGCACATTGAATTTTTATTTCAATAATCCTATTAGCCGTGCAAAACAATTTAAAAGATTTATAAACTTTCTATGTATTGAAAAAAAAAAAAGTCTTAATCAAATACTTCGAAATCAATGTGCTTCCGTATAATGTGTTCTGGTCTTTTTGCTACTTGTAAACGCATAAAGGAGTTGCAAGCAAAATTTATGTTAAAAATATGTTACAATATATAATATTTCTTAATATTGAAAGTTTTTGTTTTCATATCTGATTGTTTTTCATATCTTTGTATGTATAGATCTAACAAGAAAGCGTACACAATTTCCTTTGAATTTTTATGGCCTACAATTAAAAAAGTTTCTCTTTAAAAAAAAAAAAAACTATCGTAACAATTAGCCTTTTGAGTTATTTCAGCCTCATCTATGTTCCCTGATGATTTGCTGTTAATACTTCTTTGGTTTTTCACAATAAATAGTCAACAACTTGGTATAAATCGTCAAAACCCTCTTAGATGCTCAAAGAGGGACCCTTTAGATACCCCTTGGTCACATGACTATTATACATTGGTTTTGCATACAAAAATATAAACATATAAATAT